TAGAAAGTCAGAACATACAGTATTGCATTTTGGACTAATGCGACGGGACAACATAAACCAAAAGAAAATTGTACTTGTACGTGATAGCTTTTTATCACTTGAAAAATGATAGCACACCTAACATAGAACAAATGACGTTAACAAAACGTAAAAGAAAAAAGAAAGTAGTTTACATTTTTGGATTGCAAAAAAGTTCAAATCTGAAAAAAATATACTTTGAAAATAAACTTTGAGAAAATGCGAAACTGCTGTGCGTAGTGATTTAATGACAGACAATTAGAACATATTTCATTGTGGATTATTGTGAAGGTACAGCATAAACCAAAAGAAAATTGTACTTGTAAATAATAGTTTTTATTGCTTAAAATTGTTCTAGATACCACATGTAAAATAAAACAACTGATGTAAACAAAACTTGGTGTGTAGTTTACATATTTGGATTGTGAAAAATGTATACCATGTTTAAACCTGAAAATGTGAAACTGCTGTGCAATGTGATTTAATCATAGACAATCAGAGCATATTTAATTTTGGACCAATCTAATGGGCCAAAATAAACCGAAAGAAAGTTGTACTTTGTAATAATAGCTTTTATCGCTTAAAATAGTTCTAGATACCACACTTAAAATAAAACAAATAAAATAACAACTTAGAATGTAGTTTACATATTTGGATTGCAAAAAAATTATACTATGCTTAAACCTGAATATGCAAAACTGCTGTGCAATGTGATTACATAACATACATAACATTTAATTTTGGACCAATGCGATGGAGCGACAAACTGAAAGAAAATTGTACTTGTAAGTAATAGCTTTTATCGCTTAAAAATGTTCTAGATACCAAATTTCAATTTAAAATAATAAATATAAAATAATGCAAATACACTTAAAAAATACAAATGATGTTAGTTGACATTTAGATTGCGAAAAATTATTGCCATGCTTAAACTTGAAAGTGCGCAACTGCTGTGCGATGTGATACACAAACAATCATTGAGACGGGGCGACATAAGCCCGATTCATACGGTAATTGTTTCTCATCGGGATGTAAGCGATTTTCAGCATTTACAGGGGTTAGTCTGGGATTTTATTGCCGTCTGAATCTAGAATGTCTGTGTTTTTCTCCCACCACCCGAGTAAAAATCCCCGGCCGAATTACCTACTGTTTTTTGACTAACACCAAAGTTGTGTGGTATTTTAATTTCCGTCCGAATCTCTGAGTTTACAAGAAATCGATTGAAAATTCACTGTTTAAATCCTTTTTGACTACTGCCTATTATACACAATTATATCCATAAAAATATAATCCAATCAGCTTTATGTTTACCTTATTTAAATAAGAGGTTGCATTAATTTATTTCTGCTAATCTCCACATTTTTTATGACATCTATCATAAATGCAAGACGGAAAACCATTTCAACTATAGCGTGTCTATTTTCCTATTTTTAAACAGGAGATTTAAATAATCAAATAATAAATAGAATAGAATAAATAGAATTATTCAGAGAATATGACTTTTTATTTAGAGCAGACAATCATGTGGCAGGCCACGTGAGCAGCATGTTCCCGTCCTCAAAAGTCGTATTAAAAAAGGCATAGAAAAAACCTCTTCATGTTTTTACAGTGTCACTGAGCTGCGCTGTTATCACAGTAAAGGTTGACGTCTGTCATTGCCAACAAAGGGTATATAACAAAGTATTGAGATTAAATTTTGTTATTGACCCAATACTTATTTTCCACCATAATTTGCAAATAAATTCTTTAAAAATCCTACAATGTGATTTTCTGGATTTTTTTTTCTCATTTTGTCTCTCATAGTTGAGGTATACCTATGATGAAAATTACAGGCCTCTCTCATCTTTTTAAGTGGGAGAACTTGCACAATTGGTGGCTGACTAAATACTTTTTTGCCCCACTGTATGTGTCACACCTGAGTGTGTCACCTGACAACGCGAGTCGTGAGAGACAGAACGCTCTGTGCTGACATCTCAGAAACACACTCACGCAATCACACACTCGAGAGTTTGCACGGACCATCTGTCTCACACTCTCACACACACACACACACACACACATACACACACACACAGCCGTGGCATGTGGACAGTGTGTCGGCTGCCATAATTAAGCTTATGGTGTTTGTCAACTTTCCCTGCATGTAGCAGAGCATTGCACAGTGGCCGTCCATGGTGAGTCACGCTACCCAAACGGGACAGCAGTGTCGACTGCCAAAAACTCAGTCCGCACCATAGAGGTCTGGGTGCTCCACACTCCCAGCATGCAGTGCGGCTGCCAGATGATTTTTAAAGTCACATTTGCACACTACCCACCGAGAAACACAAATACACCCACTGAAAGCTGGCATTTAAAAATATGGTGTGAAGTAGTCGAGAATCCAACCTCCGGCGGTAAACATCCGGCATTTGAAAACAATTGGGACATGCTGTAGGAGAGATTTGAAAAGTAAAGTGACACATTACGACACTGGTCTTTGCACTTATTATGTCTGAAAAAAAATGACTGAACTGACTGGTCACTTCATATGTTGCTCAGGCAGCAAAGCAGTCCAGACTTTGTGCTGATAACCAAAAGTCTGACTCTGTGAGACTAGAGTTACACAAGCAGTAAAATGTTGATCTAAAAATCTAAACAATGATGCAACAGGATGATCTGGATCACAAAGGCATGCTAGTAAAAAAAAAAAAGTCTACAAATGACAGAAATGCATCCATTTATTGAAAAGCGTAACGGTTTTGAAAGCTAAAACTTATTCTGTCAAAACAATTTATGGATTTCTGTCTGTCTCAGGATGGTTTAATAGTACAGTAACACTCAAAGATTATATTTTTGTCTCTCAAGATATAATTTTGGTTTGAGTTTCCATTAGAAATCTATACTTTTGAAAAGCCAAAAATATTTCTCAGTGTTTTTAGGGTTTATTTTTAACCACAACACAATAAGTAAATAAACCTGAACTATACAGTTCTGCATTACGAATCATTTGAGTATGCTAACATTTTATAAACAAACTCCTTTAAAGTGCTACTTTATGTCAGACGCAATAAAGATTGCGATCTCGGTTATTTTAGATACTGCTAGTATTGTTTATAAGACAAGTTGGGACTTATTTTTACCTCACCCCTGCCAAGCATTAAATGAATTCCTAGAATTCCAGTTAAAAGTCAGTATCGTTGATCTAAGTGAGAGTATGCTGCTCTTCCTGATTTTTTGGATATCTGAATATTTTTCTCCCAGCTTAGCGTACGTTTCGGCGGAATCCTTTATCCGATGATAACTGAAAGTGGCACTGTGACAAGAACGCTAACAAAGAGAGACTGTCAAAATGTTACGTTAGAGAGTAGTGCAAAACTTAGAAGTGCTAATTTGGTCTATTGGAAATGTTTAATTTCAGATTAAAAAATGTTATATTATGCCTCTACATTTAATATTATCATGTTTTTCAAATCATTAGTTCTTGTGTGTATACATACTTAGCATAAAATAGTTATTAACTTATTAAAAATAGTTAATAGTGATACGTTAATATTTATCATATTTATAATAGTTAATAAAAAAACTCAATTTGGGGACATTACATAAAAAAATATATATATATATTTAATATTAATTTAATATATTTTTATTACTTTATTCTTTATGGGTGCACTGAAAAAAATTTGGTGAGAAATAACTTTCACTTAGAAAAACAAGAAACTAAACTAAACATATACAGTATATATATATATATATATATATATATATATATATATATATATATATATATA